TATCAATGAACTGAAGGCCACAGTCAAAAGACATGGGCTAATTGAATAGATTAAGAAACAAAATCCATCCTTGTACTGTCTGCAAGACACCCATCTCACCTTCAAAGATAGGCATTACTTTAAGGTGAAAGGATGGAAAAGAATATTCTAAGCTAATGGCACTAAGAAACAAGCAGGGGTTGCAATTCTAATATCTGACAAAATAGACTTCAAACTAAACCTAATCAGAAGAGATAAAGAGGGCCACTTCATTCTGATCAAAGGAACAATTAATCAAGAAGATATTACAATCATGAACATATATATATCAAACTCTGGTGCACCAAACTTCATAAAACAACACTACAGGACTTTAAGACACAGATTAACCCCAACTCAGTAGTAGTAGAGGACTTTAATACCCCATTGTCTCCATTAGACAGGTCAACCAGACAAAGAATAAACAGACATCTGAATTAAATGATACCATACATTAAATGAATCTAAAAGACATCTACTGAATATTCCACCCAAGCACCAAAGAATACACTTCCTATTCAGAACCCTATGGAACTTTCTTTAAACTTAACCACATACTGGCACAAAACAAACCTCAACGAATACAAAAATTGAAATAATTCCATGCATTCTATGAGACTACAACACAATAAAGCTTAAAATCAACACCAGAAGAAGCCCTAGTAACTCATGGAGATTAAACAACACACTCCTGAATGATGAGTGGATTAAAGGAGAAATTAAGAAAGAAATAAAAGTATTCCTAGAATTAAACGAAAAGGGCAAAACAATACAACAAAACCTCTGGGACACTTTAAAAGTAGTCCTTAAAGGTAAGTTTATAGCTCTAAGTGCCTACATTAAAAAATCAGAAAAAGCACAAATAAATGACCTAAAATTGCAACTCAAGGCTCTGGAAAGGAAAAAACAAATGAAACCCAAACCCAGAGATGGGAAGAAATAACAAAAATCAAAGCAGAAATTCATGAAATAGAAACAAAGAAAACAATACAAAGTATCAATGAATATATGAGCTGGTTCTTTGGAAAGATAAACAAGATAGACAGACCCATAGCCCAGTTAACCAAAAGAAAGAAAGCAAACCCAAGTCAATAAAATCAGAGGTGAAAGCGAAAACATCACAACAGACACCAAAAAGATCCAGAACATTTTAAGGGAATACTTTATAAACCTAAAATCTATTAAATTTGAAAACCTAAAAGAAATGGATGGATATCTAAAATCTTGGGAGCCATCAAAGTTAAACCAAGAAGAGATCAACAGTTTAAACAGATCCATAAAATAAGGAAATTCAAATAGTCAGACAAAACCTCCTGACTAAAAAAAGTCCAGACCCAGATGGATTTATGTACAGTAGAATTCTACTAGACATTTAAGGAAGATCTGCAACCAAAACTACTTAAATTATTCAAAAAGATAGAAGTAGAGGGAGAACTCCCAAATTCCTTCTATGAAGCCAGCATCACTCTAATACCAAAACCAGATAAAGACAAAACCAAAAAAGAAAACTATAGGCTCATATCCTTAATGAACATAGATGCAAAAATTCTCAACAAAATACTTGCAAACTGCATTCAGACCCACATCAAAAAGATTATCCACCATGATCAAGTCGGCTTTATTCCAGAAATCCAGGGATGGTTCAATATACATAAGTCAATAAACGTCATAAATCATATAAATGGACTCAAAGACAGCATTGGTGCAGTAGTGGCACTTTTATCTTGGGAGTAATCAATGGCTACCTAACTGGACTTAAAGCCCACTCAATGGGAGGAAACTTATGTCTAGTACTGTAAACCTAGCCAAATACACATAGCTGGAGAGATCACAGATCTTAGAGAAAACTCTAAGTCTGTCACATCCTTACAAATGTAATTTCTTAGTATGTGCAAAATGTGGATCCTTAAATTTATAGACAAGTATCCCAATCAGCACCCATCAAAGAAGGTTCTTTTTCAAGAGGCAGAGATAATTACAGAGTTCCACAACTGGGCACACACAGAAATTGTCTGTGAATTGCCCACTCTAAGTGGCACATCTAGGATGCAACTTCTACATCTCAGGCTCATGGAACATAGAACAAGGGATGAAGCAACACTAATATATCTTTGAACTCTCATCAATGAAGCTCCCTCATGCAACAAAGGGTCAGGAAGCAAAACGTCACAAATGGCTAAAACACAGAGAATAGGAGTCTACAGACTGTAGGTCTTTGGACAGGACTCCTATATTAAAATCCAACCACTCAGGGGTCAGGGACCATTGCGGAAGAGGGAGCAGAAAGACTGTAAGAGCCAGGGCAGAGGTGCATGACCATATGGAAATAGTCCTACAGGTGCCTGGAACCCTTCTCATATGAACCTACAGCAATGGTCTCAGCATTCATAAGATCCATACAAACTTAAGCAGACAAAAACTCAGCACAGGACTGTGGAAATAAACATCAGGCCCCATATTAGTCGAAGAATTATTGGCAGTGCATTGCTGCTGGGCGAGGAAGAGCTGATCTTCTTAAAGAGAGGGACTCTAGATAGGCTGACTAGATCCCAGTGGATGAACTTACACTGAGGGACATCTAGGGACACTAACTTTACATGATAGACCTTAACACAAATTAAAGAATGTATGAACTCCAGTGGGGGGAGAGGGGCTGACTGTGGGAAAGTGCCAAAGGGGAAGGGGGTATAAAGATGACTTTTTATGTGAAATACACAAAACTTCAATATTTTTTTAAAGCCAATGTGTGTAGTTTCATGACTAAAAAGGATAGGCTCTGAAGTCAGATTATTCAGGCTAATTGAAAATCAGCTTCAGAGAAGATGGAGTAACATGGAAAATTAAGTCCTCTGAACATGGTGATAGTACCACTTCACTTACAGGATACTGTAAATATTAGGCATTTATTGCCCCCACTAAACCCACTGGACATGTATTGATAACATGCTCAGTGATACCTGAGAAAGTTAAATAACTTCCTGAAGACAGAAACCCTAGTATGTAGGAGAGCTAGGAATCGACCCAAATGTTGAGAGTCAGCACTCATATCTGTTTCACAGCAGACCTGTGTGGTGCTCCTGAGGAAGATAATGTAACAGATGTGTGCTGGATAGCTTTGGTGTCAACTTGACACACCTAGGTTGGAGAATTGCCTCTATTGGACTGGCCTGTGGCCATGTCTGTGAGGCATCCTCTTGATTGTTGTGTGATGTGGGAGGGCCCAGGCCACTGTGAGTGGTGCCACCCCTGGGCAGGTGGGCCTGTGTTGCATAAGAAAGCAGGCTGAACAGGGGCCAAGGGAGCAAGCCAGTAAAGACAAATAAACCCTTTCCTTCCCAAGTTGGTAGTGGTCAGAGTGTTTTTTCACAGCAATGAAGAAACAAACCAGGACAAGATGAAAAGAGAAATAAGAAAGGAAATGAGAGCCCAGAGACAATGCTGACTGACAGTAAAACTTCAGGAGAGGTTACCAAGCCCACAGTATACTAGGTAGACAAGAGTTTTTTCCAAAGACCACAGTGAAGCAGGAAGCTTTTGTATCTGAGAGGGACAGGGTTAAACAGACAGAAATATCAGCAGAGCTTCTGATGGTCAAGGAGGCCTCAGCTGACATCTGTGGACCCTTGTATTATTTGATCATTTGAACAAGGCATAATATCAACTACACTACAAATTAAATTGTTTTTCTAGAATTATGATGGAAATGATTTCTCATCATGAATGTCAAACTGCCAAACATATGGTCCTGGGTACAATATCAATCCTGTTCAGTCCAAGATGGTCCTGGGAAAACTTGCTTTAAAACACAGCATGTCAGCCTTTGAGAAAATGTACGATTAGAGCTTAGATATATCAGGCAGAATAGCTGGTCCTGAGAGCATATTATAGTAATTAAGTCTTGAAAATTCCCTAATGAAATAGCAAATTGGGAAGTCTGTGAGACTTCTGAGGCTCAGTCAAAAATGCTTCTTAAACTCCAGTCTTCCTTGGAAAAGGAAAGAAAGTCCACAACAAATAAACGTATTTGCTGATAAACAAGGTAACTAACAAAATATCTGTTCAAAGCTACTTGGTAACAAAAATTGGAAGAAAGTGCATAAAAAGTAGAACTAAGGGTTATTTTACTCATGGTTAAATTTTGTCTCTGAAACAGTCCACGATGGCAAGCCACAAAGGTAGAGGTTAAGAGAATATATATATTAAAAAGAAAAAAAAAACAACTTTGAGGCCTAGCATTAGAAATTGTATGACCTAAAAGATATAAGTGTACCACATTCACATTCTTAAATGACTATATGAGGGTCTGGAGAGATAGCTCAGCGGTTAAGAACACTGGTTGTTCTTGCAGAAGACCTGGGTTAGAATCCCAGCACCCACATGGCAGCTAACAACTGTCTGTAACTCCAGTCCTAGAGGATCCGACAGCCTCTTCTGACCTCTGTGGGCATTGCATGACATGGGTGCACTTACCTACATGCAGGCAATACATGCATACACATAAAAAAATTTTTAAATGGCTATATTATTACAAAAGGAAGAATATTAATTTCTACTCAAGCACAAACAGAAATGAGCAAAGTTCTCTATGTATGTCTTAAATTTCACTGCCCTCTTCTGACCTCCTGGGTCATGGCATGACATGGGTTCTTTTACACACATGTAAGCAATACACTCATACACATAACATAAAATTAATATTTTTTAAAAGATGGAATTAGAATTTATCATGGATTCTTGATGTTTCCCACAGTTTAGAGGGATTAGTATTTTATCAGATGGGAAGCAGGTTATTTAAACTGGAAATGCACAACCAAACCAATATGTGGAAAGACTGGACAATACTCCAAGTGACCAGTGACTCAGCTTTTTAAATTATACACAAAACTTCATTCTGAAATTAGCAAAAAAATCATATAATTACCAATAATTTAAAAAACAATATACGTATCTGATTGTGATTTTTATTTCTTGAGAAGACTCACCTAAGAGGACAAATCCATCTGCTTCTGTCTCTGGAACAGAGGGCTTTTTCGATTCTGGAAGCTTTCGGAAGAAGTGAAACATCGCTGCTGCTGCTGCTGCTCCAGCAGCCGCTGCCACCGCTACCACCACCACCGCTGCCACCAGCAGGATCTGAAATACAAGCGCTAGATAATGCGAAACTCAGACCAAACTGAAGCTCCTACCCTACTTAGTAAAAAGCTATCAAAAAGGTATCACAGCGGGGCATTGTGGCGCATGACTTTAATCCCAGCACTTGGGAGGCAGAGGCAGATGGATCTTTTTGAGTTTAAGGCTAGCCTGGTCTACATAGTTCCAGGACAGCTGGGGCTACAGGGAGACCCTGATTCAAAAAGACAAAAAAAAAAGAAACAAAAAGGTATCACAATAATTACTTGCAGGAATTCTGTTGTCAGACTTAAAAAACATTAAAACTTCCCTAGATATTAAAAGACAAAGAAGTTTCTTCAAGATGGCAAAATGAGGGATGCCCCAGGCAGTCAACCAGCTGAACTCGGTGAGGGACCTTATCACACACAATGAATATTTTCCTGACCTTAGGTGCTTCTTTATTGGTCTTAAAAATCTGAACTCGGGACTTGGCAAGTAAGAAAGAAAATAACTGGAGAGCCAAGATGGCGGCAGCACAGCTGTATGGACTGGAAAGCTGGTGGCTCCAGTGGATCCTGGCATGGAGAGGAACAGGCACAACAGTCTGTGGAAGAACCTGAAACACGATTCCAGTAAAACGTCTCTCACTTGTTTCCCCTGGCCATAGAGGAAGATCTGAAAACAGCAGACACAAAAAAGCAAACTGGAGCCTTGACCATGAAAAAGAAAACACTCATCCATCTCTCCCCCTTAAGCAAAAGCAAAAACTGGTTTTCCACACATGTAGGGGTGGCCCATCTCTTTAATCCCAGCACTCCGGAGGCAGAGGCAAGTAGATTTTGTGAGACTGAGGCCAGCCTGGGCTATAAAGCAAGTTCCAGTCCAGTTGGGCTACAGGGAGACCCTGTCTCAAAAAGACCCCCCCGCCAAAAAAAGTTTTTTCTCCAATATTGATGTCCCTCTAGCAAGAAATTCAAGCCAGCAAGTAACTGTTGCTCCTGTTTGCTGCACAGAAGCCCAAATGCTCCTTTTTAAACACAAGTATAATCATGTGTACAGAGCAATGGAGAAAGGAAAACAGGAGGAACCAGCATATTGAAATTATGACCCCTCCCATGAGCTTAGAACTGTGGCCCCCTCCGGTGAGCCTGAAACTGTGGTTGTCTCCATGACCCTCCATGTTTCAGTCCCCTTCCATGAGCCAGAGTTGTGGTCCCCTCCTGTAAACCTACAGGGGTCACCTCCAAGGAGTAGATCCCCTCCTATGAACCTGAAGGGGTCACAACCCCTTCCCCAAATACCAGGTTGTATAACACAGTGGCTTTGCCTCTGTGTTGGGCTTATGCTAGGGATAGGGGAGGTCTCTGTCATTTGCAGATTCTAGTCTTTGGAGGGCTAATTCTCATGAATGAGCTTCCCAGCTCCCTTGATGGCCTGCTATGGTCTTGACTCTACATGTGGGCCTGAGCACCCAGGCATTGATGTTGGACGTTTCCCATTCCCAGGCACCAAAAGGTTTTCCATCATTTTTCTATTATTCTTCTACAGCCCCGGTGTACCTTTCACCTGTGCCCTACAGAAAATGTACATCACCTAACTGAACTTCTAGAGATAAAAATCACAGTCTAAGAAGTCAATGAAAAATAAAAAAGGAAGACAAAGGAAAAATTTAAGATTCATGGGTTTATAATCTAAATCCTCTGTGCCCTGAAGTTCACAATGCAACCTCTTCTAATTTCTGAAGATTCAAAAAATTATACAGTAAAACATTTCATGTAAGCAAAAGTCAACAGATAACACTTGAATCGAGAAGAATCTCACTAACAATTAGGGTGAAAGTTGAAGAATGCTAACAAGGACACCTTACATGCTACCTACAGTCCCTTCTAAGCAAAACAATGTAAGAAAGGCAAAGAAAAGAATTCCAGTGGCAGAAGCATTCTAAATTTTAGTTTTCATAAATTCTAACCCTAACAGATTTAATCTAAGTGAAAGGCCTCCTGAAGAATTATACTGGGATTTGTATAGGTTATCATGGCCTAAACTGTAGATGCAGTAATGGTATTAAGCCCAATGTAAGTGGATACTAAAGGAACCTAGTTATTAATAAAAGCATAGCTTGCAGATTTCACTTTTAAAAGGAATAAAAAGTGTAAAGGACAAAAGACTAGCCATGTGAGGAATATAATATTCTAGTACCAGAAGAGGAAAAGACTCCAAAATCCTCATATAACTGATAAAGCTAAAAGAAAAGTCTGAAAATGTGTTGGCACCCTCCCTAGAGAGCACAAGAAAACAGGGCCTCTATGAGAGTGCTTAAAATGAAATGAGATGAAAAATCAAAAGATGAAAAGAAAGACAGAAATAGTAATGCATTTCCCAGCAGTAAGCAGAGGCAAGAATCCCAAGCCAGCCAGTGTGACATGTGAGATGGACAGACCAATGGATGAAAGGAAGAAAATAACTCAAGAAAAAGAGAAATCTATGCAAGAAAGACATGAGAAAAGAATTCATTGATTTTCAAGCACGATGTTATAAAATAGACTTCAAATTCAAAGACATAAGATTGAATAGAACCATTTCACAATCCTGAATAGTTAAAAATAAAACTGGGAAGGCTTGTGGAACAACCACAGCTGATTAATACTCACCCTTAAGTAAGAATCAAATCACAGATGTAGCCACCACACCTGATTTCAAATCCCCATTGCAAAATAATATGTCACTCAGGAAATTTACTTGATATAAAAAAAGTTCAGGAAAAAGAGACTACAAGTGTAGGTCTCAAATTGATGTCTGATAAGCTAAGGTATCCTCAAATGGGGGGAGGCATGCTGAGGTGGAAAACATGAAACATACAGGAAATTTAAAAATTTATCTAGCAAAAAACTGGCTATTGGTAAATGAAGCTGTTCAAACTCAAAGAGATAAGAAGCCAATAAAACTTCTGAGACCTGTACTGCAAAAATAACTACCAGTCTGAATCAAGGAAGACCACAATTAGTAGAGATTTAAAATAACCACTGGATGCCAATTTTCTACAAACAAGAAGTGCCAGGGAAAACTGCTCAAACCCCATAATGGCCTATCCTCTAGAGCCACTTCAAATGTAGCCAAGGAAATTACCGAAAAGAAGAAAATCCAGGAGGATGTAGCCAGTGGGCACAGTGAACAAAGGATAGAGGAACCTACCCCAAGTAGAAAATGGACATACCTCAGAAACATTCTCCAACTTAGGATGAGGACCCCCATGCTGCCTCCAAAATGGAACTGTGGAACTGCTATGACTCTGCTGTGTCTCTCCCATTCCTGAATGTGTTTTATCCAATTATTATTCCTAGTTCCACTAGGGTGAGAGGGAACAGGAAAGACATATTTCTTGTCTTCTTGTTCATGAGGTTTTTAGACCAAGAAGTGTCACATCTTGACCTGATGAAGAGACTTCTGTATTCTGTACATGACCAAGAGATACTAAGTTCTGAGTCTAACATCATGACTGACTGGGGCAACTCGAGTAATGAGATATCAATGATTCTGCTGTGGGTGAGAGAGAAAGTGAACACAAAAGAGAATTGCAGAATAAATAATGCTGTTCACCAGCTGCATTTTATGGAGACAAAACGGGACAATTTCCTACTCTCTGAGGAGTTAGGAGTGATCAGATGGTTTGCTTTGTTCACCATAGCACATGTAATCGGTGTGTTGTAGTAAGAAGTTCTGTGGACACAGAGAAGGATAGGCCCTTTAAAAAGTGCTTCCTCTTAACATAAATAACAGCTTTTCAATAGAAGAATACAAATTTCCAAAACCTTTTACTGTGTACCACAAAATAGAAATGGAACAAATATGGATATCACAAAAGTGATTCTGATAAACCATCTTATGGCCCAAAAGTTTAGATAGGTTTTATACAAAAGCTGACCAAACTTAGATGTAGTGCAAAAAAAACAATCTCTTTGTGTGTGTGTGTGTGTGTGTGTGTGTGAGACAGGGTCTCCTTGTAGTCCCAGCTGTCCTGGAACTCACTATGTAGACCAGGCTGGCCTTGAACTCACAAAGATCCACCTGCCTCTGCCTCCCAAGTGCTGGGATTAAAGGCAACAATCTCTTTTTAATCTAAGTATCTTGCAAAGAATTATTATTTAGATAATTAAGTGAAACATTTACATTTTTCATGATCTAAAACACCGTATTTAAGTAATATCCAGTCTGTGCAGTTTCTTAGATGGCATGACACTGGCAAAGTATAACATTACAACCCATCATATCACAATATCAGAATATAATGAAAATTCCAAACATGATAGCAAAGGAGGGATAATTTAGTTTCCAAGAGTCAAGAAAATTTCAGGCACAAAAGAATCACATCAAGATAAAGCAAAGGGATCTGAAACCATATAAAAGAACTAAGGGCTAGTTGAGGCTAATTTCAGCATACTTCCCGGAAACAGCTCTGAAATTGTTACAGAGGTAGTCATTATTTCCTACTTATCACTCTACCAAACTGACCATCACCTTAACTCCTTTCTCAGCCATAGTCCACTTCTACATATTTCCCTACAGAAATATGGTTCTGATATTTGCAGCAATTCCTGGGATTCCCCCATATGGCCCATACTACTGCTGACAATAATTCATCCAATTAGGCACCTAAAATTTGTCTAACAAGGTATCAGTCTCTTAATACATAAAAAGACCATGTGCTAAGACACTAAAATTTGTAATTAAATTATCTTTTTCTAATTATATTTTCATGTCATTCAAAAACACACAGTAGCATAAAAATTTACCCTTAGAGGAGATTGGCAAATATCAATCTAAGATCTCCCCTCTATGAAAAGTCACCACCCTAATGCCCAAACTTAGTTAGTCTGGCCCTAAGACATAGTAGTAAAATAGAAGGGAGCAACTACAAACACCTCTAATATACGTTAGTTCCCACTATGCATATAGCACTATATGTGACAATGGTTTATAATATATTCTATTATAATTTACAAGACCTACACTAGGTACACACA